TTGTGTACTTAGTGGAATCAGCTGGTACAAAATAATTTTCTGAATTTGAAATAAGGTACATTTGGTATCTTTTCCATTTTCTGTGGTTTAGAACCTAGAAACTTCCAAGAACTAGTTTTAGAACTTTCATCCAAGTCTCAAACATTTTTAATAAAATTACCACTCTGACATGTAAAACTTATTCTGGAGAAACACATGACTCTGAAGGGACAGATACTTGGCTTTCAGGAGTGTCAGAACACTTTATATGCAGAAGATTCATCCATGAAAAAGTATAAGCACCTTTAATTTAAATGAGAAATTTAAGGGATTCCAAGTAAGTTCTGAGGAGACCATTTTGTTGCCTCATAAAAACTTAGGAAAGGGTATCCTCCTTTTAATTGTTGAAGGACACATGTGCTCACCAGAGAACGAGAAGGGGATAATGGGGTGGGGGAGAAAGCATCCTCTGATGGGGCATGGTCACACCTCAACCTCTTCTCCATTTCTCCATCTTCTTAAGATTTTGGGTATGCACACACACACACACACACACACACACACACACGGCATGTTTTTCAAGCTGCCAGAGGCAGGACCTGAACCACAGTTTACCATGTGGGATCCTGCTCCCTTAAACACTGGGCTATTGGGTTGGCTCTCTGTTTATTTGTTTTAATCAGACAGAGAGCTGTTTTTGACAGGGTCTTGCCTGCCACGATCTTCCTCTCTCAGCCATTCAGTTAGCTAGGACCACAGGCACATGCGACCGTGTCTGACCATGGCTCAGTTTAGGTTGGGCCAGGCGCTAAGCCCAAACCTGCCATACTGTTTCAGCCACCATGCGTGACACCTTCCAGCTAGTGCAGCTACAGCTGAACCAATAGAATCTTTTGTCACGAAGAAATGTAAACGCTAACAAAATGAGGGATATCTAATATAAATGTGTGTAATTGAACCTGTGTAAGATAACTTATTCATGTAACTCTCATATCTACTATAAAAATTTCCAACTTTATTCTACCCCTCAAACACAAAAAGGTTTCCAGTATAATTCAAACCGACAAAAGGCTGAGCAGCACTTAAATCTGCCATAAGGAAACACAGCAGACTGAGTTAGCTTTAAAAAAGAAAAAAAGAAAACAGGAAAAAAAAATGGGGAAATACAACCCCCTGTGTAGTAGTAATAGTGGGATGAGGTGGGTATTCTTTTGTCTCCAACTAATTCCTGATGAGGTCAAAGCCATGGCATCCTGTCCCTGGGTGAATTAAAGAGGGAGCATTCTAGAAGTGTAGATGTGGTATCAGAAAGGCTGATGAAGGTAAGTAGAGAAATACTTAGATTAAAAACTTTCAGGACCAGCAGATGGCATAATGGTAATGTCTCTGGACTCGCATGTAGTGGACCGTGGTTAGAGTCCCAGATCCAGCAGCTTAAAACTCATGCCACGTGCACGTACATGCATGCCAAAATCCTGAGTGGGGAATGGAGAAGGGATTGCAGTGTGGCCATCCCCCGGGGGTTGGGGGAGTGATTTCTCTCTCTCTCTCTGTCTCTCTGGTGAGTGCATGCACCCTATAGCAAAAATCTCTTTTAAAAAACAAAAACCTTCAAGACCTGTGACAGTCACCCTTTAGTACCCCCTACCTACTCCTAGGACCAAGTGCAAGAATCACCCTGGGCTATGGGCCCTGCACGGCTACACAATGCAGCTCATATTACAGTGACATAAGTCTGGCCTCACCTAGTTTATCTTTCTTCAACCACAGGATCATTCTGTAGCCCAATGTTCAAAAAGGAAACAATGTGACAATTTTCTTGTTTTCTTAATCTGTCCTGAGTGGGACAATTCATTCTTTGCAGAAAAAAAACATACATATTTTGGTCTCTACCATTGTACAGGAAAGATTTTGCAAATAAGTATAATATGATAGAGATGATCCCATGGCATCCTGGGTTCAGGGAATTTTCAAAGCAGCAAAATATTAGAGAGTGTCCATTCAGTTCTACTCAGCCAGTGCCCTGAGTGGGATGGTTCTGGGGCTGGTTTGAAAGAGTACGTTTTGGAAATTGCTATTGTACACTGTCTGCCAGGAGTCAGACAATGGTAGAGGTGCCTCCTATGGACAGCTTTACTGAGGAGGGTCTGGCCTTAGTCCAAAGTTAAGGTGTAACAGCCATGGTGAAGATCAGGGAGCTTAAGGAAGCTTACTATCAGTGCTTTGACGAGATCAGTCTGCCAACGCAGACTCTAGGCATGAACTTGCAGATGCCAAGAAGTGGAATTGGAATGTGAACTCCTCTGTTCACTTCATCTGCACAGAATAATGAATGCCCATTATTCACCCAAATTTTCATTCCTGAATGTCTGAGTTCAGGGGCAGGCTCTTTGGTCTTAGAGGTAGAAGGTCTGTTATGTCACAAGAAGACACAGTGAGTGGCTCCTGTCTGAGAGTCCAGAGGCTTGGCTTCTTGGCACAGCTTTCGTTGGGGCTAGCTCTGTATCCAGACAAGTGCCTAATATCTTTGAGACCCCTGTTGTTCAGTGGTCATAAGAGAAATTTTGACAGGTTGTTACTGAGGTCAGAGTCAGAACGAGATCTCCAGATTCTCTAACTTGGGCAAGTTCTGTAAGATACAGAGAGTATCAATGGTACACTTGTTTTTGTTGTTCTTCAAATGAATTAACCACATAAATTCCTACACTTTCAAAAGACAAATTGGTCACGTGGACCCCAGTTCTTGATCTAAAATCATATGGACAATCTCTTACTCTAAACAATGCAAACCGGGGGTTGGGGGAGTGATTTCTCTCTCTCTCTCTGTCTCTCTGGTGAGTGCATGCACCCTATAGCAAAAATCTCTTTTAAAAAACAAAAACCTTCAAGACCTGTGACAGTCACCCTTTAGTACCCCCTACCTACTCCTAGGACCAAGTGCAAGAATCACCCTGGGCTATGGGCCCTGCACGGCTACACAATGCAGCTCATATTACAGTGACATAAGTCTGGCCTCACCTAGTTTATCTTTCTTCAACCACAGGATCATTCTGTAGCCCAATGTTCAAAAAGGAAACAATGTGACAATTTTCTTGTTTTCTTAATCTGTCCTGAGTGGGACAATTCATTCTTTGCAGAAAAAAAACATACATATTTTGGTCTCTACCATTGTACAGGAAAGATTTTGCAAATAAGTATAATATGATAGAGATGATCCCATGGCATCCTGGGTTCAGGGAATTTTCAAAGCAGCAAAATATTAGAGAGTGTCCATTCAGTTCTACTCAGCCAGTGCCCTGAGTGGGATGGTTCTGGGGCTGGTTTGAAAGAGTACGTTTTGGAAATTGCTATTGTACACTGTCTGCCAGGAGTCAGACAATGGTAGAGGTGCCTCCTATGGACAGCTTTACTGAGGAGGGTCTGGCCTTAGTCCAAAGTTAAGGTGTAACAGCCATGGTGAAGATCAGGGAGCTTAAGGAAGCTTACTATCAGTGCTTTGACGAGATCAGTCTGCCAACGCAGACTCTAGGCATGAACTTGCAGATGCCAAGAAGTGGAATTGGAATGTGAACTCCTCTGTTCACTTCATCTGCACAGAATAATGAATGCCCATTATTCACCCAAATTTTCATTCCTGAATGTCTGAGTTCAGGGGCAGGCTCTTTGGTCTTAGAGGTAGAAGGTCTGTTATGTCACAAGAAGACACAGTGAGTGGCTCCTGTCTGAGAGTCCAGAGGCTTGGCTTCTTGGCACAGCTTTCGTTGGGGCTAGCTCTGTATCCAGACAAGTGCCTAATATCTTTGAGACCCCTGTTGTTCAGTGGTCATAAGAGAAATTTTGACAGGTTGTTACTGAGGTCAGAGTCAGAACGAGATCTCCAGATTCTCTAACTTGGGCAAGTTCTGTAAGATACAGAGAGTATCAATGGTACACTTGTTTTTGTTGTTCTTCAAATGAATTAACCACATAAATTCCTACACTTTCAAAAGACAAATTGGTCACGTGGACCCCAGTTCTTGATCTAAAATCATATGGACAATCTCTTACTCTAAACAATGCAAAAAGGAAGACATGCCTTAGGTTTTTTCTGTCCAGTATGGTAGCCACCAGCCATGCGTGTCTACTAAAATTTAAATCAACTTAGATAAAATCTGAAAATTCAACCTGAAAGGAATTTTCAGATTAGGTGCCTAGTGTCTATTGCACTGAGCAGTGCGGCCATACACTCACTCCGTTGAAGAGCTCTGTCATCCAGTTCTGCCCTAGCCCTTTGCCCAGACCACAGACTACAGCTACTTGTCCCTTCCAGGAGGATGTAGATGTCTGTGTTCTCCAGGGACTGTGTCCATCTTGGGGGAATGAAAGGATGACTTCAATCCCATTTGGAAAAAACTGTGCAAGAAACCTGTCATGCAAAGGATATTAGCATTGAGTAGAGTTGAGAAAGTGAAGCAGATGGGAGGGTAGAGGAAGAAATTAGGAAACCTCTGAACCATCTGTACCTCAGATCTTGACTAGATTTAAGTCCCCGTAGGAGAATTCTTCACAGAGATTGTAACCCTATGCACAATGGGCTCCAACAATGGAAAAATTTGAGACAAGCAAGGCTGCCCTAACCCCCAGGAAATGAGGAACCTTCCAACACTCGGTGGAAGGTTAATCAGGTTTGTCCATGTTACAGAAGAGAACTGTTGTTGTTACATGGCCAGTGGCAGGTCAGGACGAATTCAGGCTTTCCAGAAATAATTGAGAGGTAAACACTATATGACTGCTTAGGTCTAGGTCTGCACAGGCTATATAAGCTTACATTTTTTAGAATCAGGCCTGAAAGTGGTAAGAAAGTATCAGTGATATAAAGAGTCAGCTTGTTTCTGCCTTCTCTGCTGGCCCTGTTGGTGAGGGGGCCATGCGCATGGGAAAGGAGGAAATCAGAGGCAGATGGCAAAAAGTGTGTAACTTTACCTGCTGACTGGACACCATCTGTGAAGGGAATCACCTTTCTCTTCTGGACTTATTTCCAGGTGCAGCTGCAGGGGATGACACTGAAGATGCGAGCACTGAGTTCACTGACAGTATTGAGGAGGAGGCTGCACTCAACAGCCACCAGCAAGTAAGTCAGGTTCTGGGGTTCCCAGGATGGAAGGCACACAGCCCTTCTGGGGTCTAATGGTCTCCTGCAGCCCTTGTGGCCCTAGAGTGAGAAGATCCTTTTTCATGTAACCCCCTTTCCAGTCTTCTTCCTGTCCTCCCTCAGCTTCCCAGCTGTCTCTCCTACCCATGTCTTCACCCTGTTTCCCCCTCCAATCCAGCCTTCTGTTTTTACTACTTCTATTTCTTTTTTTCTGCTTCCTATCTCCTCCCACCCACTTTTGCCCCAATTTACTTTATAGCTGTAGCTTCGGAAGATTTTTTTTTTTACTTACAAGACAATGGAGCCTTTCCCTCTTGGGCTTTTGTAACTGAGACACACCACACCACAGAAGACAGGGAGTCGTCAAGGGCTGCTTAGGGAGGTGGCAGGGTCTAGGACCTGCCTGAGGAGAATACTCTCTGAGAAACTCCCAGCAAGATTGGGATGATTCCAAAGCAGGAATCTCTCTCAGTATAATCTCATTATACAGAAGATCACTTAATTGTGCACCCTGACAAACCACCTGGGTTATGACGACTCAGTGACCAGCAGACAGCACTTCAACAGCAAGTCCTGTCCATCCTCAGAACTTGGTACCCAAGGCTGAAACACTGTTCCCACGCACCATCAGTGAAGCTGTAACCAGCATGTTCTCAAGCCCAAGAATGAGTGTCCTGGACCTCAGAGGTTGTCACTGGTAGTGTTTCCACAGCACTCACCAGAACGCCTGTGTGTCTCCACCTTGTTCAGCGTCATTTAGCAATCATGTCTCCTAGTGAACCATGCCTGTGATTATGTTATGAGGAGCAAGTGGATCATTAGTAGCTCTCCTTCTGCAAAAGCAGCTGGGCTTTTCCAGTGAGATGTTGTCTGGAGTTATAGGAAAACTGTAGGGAACACGAGGCTTGCTGGATCTGCTTGTTTGTGTTCTGCGTAAGAAAAGAGAAGACATCTAAGACGGCATAAGAACAACCCAAGTGAGCAGTCCTCTAACCTTTTGGTAATTGGTACAGTCCTTGACTCTGGAGGATATGAAGAGTTGTCAATTCTCAATAGTTCCTTTACTTTCTGCCAAGATTCCCTTTGTGTTACTCCAGCCGTACCTGACCTTCATTTCTCCCTTGAGTTCTTGCATGAGCTCTCCATTTCCTTTTGCTTGAACAGCTTCTTCTGAGTCCTTCTAACCAATGGTTGTGGCTTTAATTCTATGTGCTCCTGCCCCTCCAGACAGATCCCTCTGCCCTTCACTCATTGATTTAATTGAAAAAACTGGGTGAGAGAGAGAGAGACATACATGATCAATAAATGTCCAACTAGATTGGGATGTTGACTGACCACTAATGGTTATGGTAACTGTGGGACAGGATTAACTTTAGAATAAATGAACAAAAGACACAGATATGAAGAGAGTCAGATTCTAATTGACATGGTCTAAACCATACTTGGTAGTCAAAGTCCTTCACTCTCATTCTCAATTTTGGGCAAACTGATTTGTAAGATATTCTTTCTCAGCCTTCTTTCGCCTAACATCGAGAATGTGATCAAACTCCATTTTGAGAAAGTTCGCTCCAGCCTGGAATGAACTTTTATGTTGGAGCACTTGTATTTTCCTCACAATGCTTGCCATATTACTTGGCTAGGAGATATCTAATATAATTATGAGTTCACAACTTTTGGTTCAGGGCTTGACTCATAATAGACACAGTGTATGTATACCTGTTGGATGAAGATCTTGGGTAAGCATCATTTTTCTTTCTGTTACTTTCCCTTGAGAATGAATCTTCATCTTTGGGTAGGAGACACCTTGGTATATGAAATAATTGTAAATTTACTTCATCTTTTCTGCTGCCAATTAAATAAAGCTTGTTTTGCTGTAACTGTTTTGTGTCCAGATTCTCAAAAATTTGTTTCCAGGGAAATGGTTTCCTAAGAGTAGGCTCTGAATTGTTTCTTGCTGTGTCTGTGGAAGTTAACCTTTATTCTTGAACACCCATCTCCCTTCCCACCTCAAGCATACACACACTTCCCTTCACAAACATCTCTAGCTTTGTCTTCCTCTGAGGCAAGAACACCTTTTGGCTAGGACTAGCAGATGGTGTAATGGTTATGTTGCTGGACTCCCATGTAGTTGACCGTTGTTTGAGTCTCAGAACTGGAGGCTTAAAATTCACACCAGGCACATATGCATGCATGCCCAATATCCCAAGAAGAGGATGGAGGAGAAGAGATTGTGGCATTCCCTGGAGGGTGATTGGCCATTCCCTGGAGGGTGATTTCTTGCTTCCTGTTTCTCTGACTCTCTCTGTCTCTCTGGCAATTGCACATGTCCAATAGCAAAAATCTCTCTCTTAACAACAACAATAAAAAAAAATCATCTTTGGCCAAAATATCTGCTTCCTCATATTTTGTACTCATGCACCTCAGGAAGCCTTAAGTCTAGCCACAGGTAATTTTCTTAGATATCTCCCACAAAATTCCACATTTAGGCAGATATAAGAGCTATAATAAATACCTAAGAAATTATTAAGAAAAACAAATAATCAACCATTGGTTTTTGTTTTTTCATTTGAAGTTTTGCAGTGGAGGGAAATTAATTAAGATTAAAGTAAAAAGGAGAGGAGTTAATAGATTGTGATAAACTTGATCAAAGTTATTGTAAAAATTTATTAATTTGGGAGGGGGCAGTAGATGAGTAGCAGTTACATCACTGGATTCCCACATAGTTGACTGCGGTTCCAGCCTGGTGGCTTATAATTCACATTGGCCACGTGAACATGCATGCTCAAAATCCTGAAAAGAGAATGGAGAAGGGATTGCAGCATGGCCATCCCCCCAGGGGATGATTTCTTGTTTTCTGTCTCTCCAGCGAGCACATGTACACTATAGCAAAAGTCTCTCAAAAAATTATTAAATTGTTTCTTTTCCTACAGGGCATGTGCGCTCATCAGAGAGAAACAAGGAGAGAGAGAAAGTGAGAAATCATCCCCTAGAGGGGATGACAATTAGCAATTCCTTCTCCTCCATTCTCCTCTTGGGATTCTGGGCATGCATGCACTTGGCATGATTTTCAAGCCACTGGGTTTGGACTTTAATTGTGCAGTTGGCCACATGGAATCTAGTCAGCTTCACCACCATGCCACTGACAGGCTTGAAAAAAGTGCTAATATTATTTTTGATTGACAAATTATAATTGCATACATTTATAGAGTTCAGTGTCACACACACACACACACACACACACACACAGAGTGTAGAATAATTAGATAAAGTTAATTAGCATATCCATTACCCTACCTACCTGTGAGACATTTGAAATTTACTCTTAGTTACTTCAAAATATATATTATAGTCCCTTGGTATGTAGTCGATCTCAAAACTATTTTTTCTATCTAAGATGTTTTACTATATGACCAACTCCCCATGCCCTTCCTCCTCACCCTGCCAGTCTCCGGTGACCATCACTCACTTCTACGAGTTCTACTGCATTTGATTTCACATGTGAGATCATGTGCTGATTTTCTTTCTGTGCCTGGCTTATTTCATTTAGCATAACATCTGCCAGATTTTTCCATATTATCGCAAATGACCAAGATCTCTCCCCTTACAAAGGCTGAATGATATCCTATTGTGTATATATACTACATTTTCTTTATCCATCTATTGATACAGACCAAGGTTAATTTCATATCTTGGCTATTATAAATAATGCTGCAACCTTTTTTTTTATGGAAGTATGTATTTATTTTTAAACTTTTTAAAATTTTATTTATTTATTTATTTATTTATTTTAACTTGACCAGAGGGAGACAGAGCAAGTGAGAGAGAGAGAAAGAGAGAGAGAAGCAAAGTGAGAAAGCAAGCTGCCAGGTCTGGGACTCGAATTGCAGTTGGCCATGTGGGAGTCCAGTGTTCTTAACCACCACACCATCTGCTGGCCCCTATTATTATTACTTTTTTTAATTTGGTATAGGGCATGTGCACTCACCAGAGAGAGACACAGAGAGAGAGACAGAGAAAGTGGAAAAGCAAGCCTTTAGGTCTGGAACTCAGACCTCAGTAGGCCTTGTGAGAGTCCAATGAGTTAACTACCACACCACCTGCTGGCCCCTGCATTCTTTCAGTATACTAATACTGGTTCTTTTGGCTATATAGTCAGAGGTAGAATTACTGGATTATATAGTTCTATCTTTTTTGTTTGCTTGTTTTGCCAAAGGGGGTAGGAGAGAACCCTCTAAAGGGGCCTGGTCATGCAGCTATCTTTTTCCCTCCTTTTCTCCCCAGCAGGATTCTGGGCATGCACACATGTACCTACTGTGCTTTTCAAGCCACTGGGGCCAGGGTTTGAAATGCGGTCAGCACTGAAGGATCCAGCTCCCTCTGCATGGTTCTCAACTGTTGTGCTATAGCACCAGCCTGGTAGTTTGTTTTGTTTGTTTTGTTTTAAGGTTTTTGCCATAGGGTGCACACACTCACCAGAGAGAGAGAGAGAGACAGTGAGAGAAAGAGAGAAATCAACCCCTTGAGCACATATGCACATGTGCTCAGTGTGATTTTCCAGTTGCCAGGTCTGGGATTCAAGCTGTGGTCAGCCATGTGGGAGTCCAGTGCCTTAACCACTAGGCCACCTACTGGCCCCTGGCCCAGTAGTTCTATCTTTAATTTTCTGAGGAACTTCCATACCATTTTCCACAATGGCTTTACTATTAGCTTGTCGGGAAAGTCATGATGCATTTTTGCATAGAAAAACAGTCATGACTTTCTGACAACCTAATCATTTACATTTCCACCAACAATGTGAAAGAAGTTCCCTTCTCTGTGCATCCTCTCCAATGCTGTTATCTTTCATCTTTCCAATGAAAGCCATTCTAACACATATGAGATGATACATCATGATTTAAATTTGCATTTCCCTAATGCTTTGTGATGTGAAGCATTTGAGGAAAGCTGTTTTTTAGTGCCTTCAATCTGGTGTGAGAGCTGACCTTCATTGTGAGAGATATGGAAAATGGAGTAAAAACAGAACAATGCTATTCAAGCAAGAAGTAAAACTTGCACAGAGACCTCTGTGGGGCATATGAAAAAATTGAATTGCTGGAAGCAATAGCACAAGTGAGTTAGGATATGTGAGGAAAATGATCTGTAAGAGAGATGTTATTAAAAATAGACCTAGTGGGGACCAGCAGATGGTGTAATGGTTACATCATTGGACTCCCATTTAGTCAACTGCAGTTCAAGTCCTGGACCCAGCAGCTTAAAACTCATGTGTGTATGTGTGTGTGTGTGTGTGTGTGCATGGCCAAAAATCTCAAGAGGAGAATGGAGGAGAAGGGATTGCAGTGTGGCCATTCCCCCTGGGGATGATTTCTCACTTTCTGTCTTTCTGTCTCTCTGGCAAGTGCACACATCCTATAGCAAAAAT